GGATTCTACAGAAATACACGTGTTGCAGATTACTCAAAAATTAGACGATATAAACAAAACCAAAAAAAAATTCCAATAAGACTAGACAAAGCGAAAACGTCATGCGCACACTACGGACTAGTTCGATATGTGGATATGTCACCAACGACGAGAGAGTTAGACATAGATGTGGGGATGGGAAGAACGATGCTTGTATGTGGATCTGTGTGTGATGTATGGCATGACAAGGCGGTGAGGAAAGGAGACAGAGTTCAATGGGAACACATCTCCGCGTGGACGACGTAGCGCTTACGCGTCCGGTCCGTTACGCGCACGAGGCTGCGGTGACGATGAGGGCGACTGGCCTGGCGGTGGTGTAGCCATCGAAGGCGGCATACGCTCGTTCATTTGATCCAGCCGTTTCGCTTCCGCAAATGATTGGATGCGGTGACCGGGTTGTACTCCTGACAAGGCTGAAACGAATAAATTCAATATTGGAAAAACAATAAAGACGTTTTGAATTTGAAAAATTATGAAATATCGAAAACTATGCCCACGAAAGTTCGCTGTTTAAGTTTCTTTCCAAGTACTGTTAATAGGACGCCTTTTCCAGAATTCTAGAGTAGACGTCATGTTTGGCGAATTCAATTACTGATGTTTACTCATTCCCAAAGTGCTCTTTCAAATTTTCTTCAGTGCAATTCTATTTCAAAACGCTCTCAATTAGTTTTGATAACAGCTTCAGCTACACAATATTTTTATCTAGAGGATTGACCTGTAAACATACAAACCCTCCAACCAAACATCAACCTACACTCGACAAGCGCCGATTTTCCTCCAGATAAGATACCCTGCGGGAGTTTTCCGCCAGGATTCAAGCCTTTGAGTTGCAGTACCGTCTCGCTCTCGTGTCTTTAAAAAAATACAAGCCTTGTTTAGCGCTAACTTTTTGCAGAAAAAAAACAGTCAAATTTTGCCAAAGAAGCACAGCAGCCGAGAGTACAATTATGTTAATATGTATAGTAAGAACACCGTGCATAACAGTGTCATTGTTGTTGT